TTTCAGTTTTTTTGTTATTAAGCGCATCTTCTTTCTAATTACGTCTTCACTTATAACAGTACCATGCGAGAAGGTGCTAGCAAGAGAAAATAGTCCATCTTGGTGCTGATTATCGATGGCGTAGAATGGAAAATTCGGAGAATGATAATCAAACAGCAACTGAACAGAATATCAGGATAAAAGATTGGGTACTTATGTGCCAGTTAAAGTACCAATTTAGGCTTCTTATTGTCAAATCAATGCAGTAAAATCAGCCAATTTAAATTTGAGTATTCGTCAATGGTGGGCTGTAATTTTGGGAAGATTGCGCGTACTATTCTCTACGAAAACTGCAAAGACAAAACAAATCAAACCTTCTTATCGATAACAGTAAGCTGCAGCTGCTTCGCACTATAGGCATTATCCAAATCCTTGATTACTTGACGACGATTTTCCTCAATAATACGCATCAACGTCTGTGCTGCTTCGTCCACATTCTGATGCGCTCGGGTCAGCGAACTACTCAAGCGATTCTGGGCAGCATCTACCATCTGTAATTTTTTATGGCGTTTAGAAGAATTCCTACATCTCTCTTAAATTCAGCAAATTCAGAATGGAGAGTTTCTGTCCGAAGGTGAATTTCGTATAAAAGGCGGCTTTCATCGAAAAGAAAGTGACTGATTAGGCAATTTTAGTGTTCCCGCATTTGCGCCAGTAGCACAGATTGAATATATTAAAATTGTCGCAAAGCAAACTGTAGAAGGCGTAAAATTTGATTAAATCGCTGCAAAAAAACGCCTCTAATTTCTACTGGTCAGCACGTAGAATCGAAAAATGCCCAAAAATACAAAGAAAAAGAGTAAGTAGGATAACATGTAAGTAAGAAAATAGTTAAAATTTTTACGTGATGAAGAAATTAAGCAATACCTTGTACATTTCCAGAAGTTCGGAATGTTTGAGTCGAGCTTCCTGTACCAGTGCTTCCATAATTGCCATTTGTTTTTCGGTAACGTCACAGATCAACTCGTACTGATGTGTCGGGGCCACATGATCAACCTGAGTACATTCGCTGCATATAGCTACGTTGCACGTTACACAGAAATATCGAATTGGCTGTGAGCGATGCTGCAATAAATTTATGTATTGCAGTTCTGCTAAGAAGCCATCCGGGCATCCGGCTATGGGGCTAATTGCGAACAGAAAACTCCCGCGCAAATTCAGATTTTCACCCAAATTTCGACCAAAACAGGTGGTGATCCCGAAATCCCGTAGTAACTAATTACTTACCTAGCACTAGACGCTGGCTTTGCAATGCTATACGAGTCGCTACAGCAGTGAGTAACGTACGAAATGGCACTATTTGATAAAGAAGAGCACATTCTTAACTCTTTCTTCTACATACTACGTTTCATCGTTCTATTCGACATTATTAGTATGAGTAATGTTAATACTACATACTAATAATGTCAAATAGAACGTTCGCGCCCACTTTTTCGATATTGCTGCGCTGAAGGCAGAAAGGTAATGGCGCTAAATGCGGTCCTTTATGAAAGCTGAAGAGCGAGCGCTGGCTGTGACGAAGAGAGCGATGAAGTGAAGGGGGACTGTTGGTGCGTCTTTTCACGACTGTGTTAACAATAAGATTCTCCGTCAGACGAGCATATAGCAATGCGAGAAAATAAGATTCGAAGAGGAAGGCATTTTGCTGGCTTTGCTGGGCGGATGTCCCACACCAGTGAGCTGTACTGTCACTCAGGGACAGTCCAAAGAATATGCATCAAAGAGCTAATTGGAAGTAAGCAGCCTAGAGTCGAAGGCGTGGTATAGGTGCGCCTGGCGTGTGAAAGCATCAGCCGCCTGTTGGTCAGCCTTAGTGAATTTGGTAAAAGGAAAGCCAAAAATTGATTTTTCTAAAAATCTGCTAGAAGCTTCTCTACACATTCTTACACTTCAGTTACAAATTTCTAAAGTTGTCCTGTCCATTGGAATGGAGGCATCAACACTTATGAGATGCATTTTAAGCCGAGATATCCGAGGAATAACAACCCTGTTTACATGTCAATAGCGGCAACATCTTTGCACTGGTTTAGGATAAAGCTATAAGAAAATTGTAGAAGACAAGTTTGGTGGCAAAAACAGAAAAAGAAGTGACCGCTGTAGCGATCTCGTAAAAGACACCAGTAAGAATGATTCGAGACAGGAGATGTGTTCATCAAACGCCAGCAGCGCACTAACGCCAAGGACTTTACACTGGTAGTACGGACGACCTTGATAATCCTGTTGTGATAAGCGCGCACGGGCCGCGCCCTCTGATACTAGCACGAAAAGATGGATCAGCCAGTGATTATTGATATTAAACTAAAAGAAATTGCACCTGACATTCATCCATATGGCGCTTAACTTCCACCACTATAAAACCAACCGCTTACTAACAAAAAATCAGTAAAACTAGTAGCAGCCGCTTAAATAGGAAATTTATTTATTTTCAAATATGCAAATTTCACAAAGAAGAAAAGTCGGAGTAAAACTGTGTATGTGTTTATAGTGTATGTAAGTATGTG